AAATCTTCAAATCTTCGATTAAAGGTTTCAAGTATACATCTATGTCATTCCCTGGTTGTTTAGGCCCAGAAATTAACATAGATAACATCATGTACTTGCGCTTCATACATAGCCATTGAGGTAGGTTATAAATCATAAGAATCACAGGCCATGTGGAATGTGAGATACTTTGAAGACCATGCGGGTTCATTCCATCCGTAGATAATGCCAAGCGAAGGTTTCTTGTTTCTCCTCCAAAATCAGGATAATCATTATCAATTTTCTTCCACTGTGGTGCATCTGCCGGATGTCGAAACTTTCCATCGATAATTCTTTCATCTGCATGCCAAGTCAAGTGTCTATCATCGGTTTCACTATGAAACATGCGTCTAAATCTCGGAATAATAGGAAAATACCATAAGACTTTCGTTGGAGATAATTTTTTCTTATATCGAGATAAACCGCACTTTGGGCACTCATTCAACGATGCATATTCGTTTAGAAACAAAATATAATCATTTAGACATGCATGTATCTTATCATAGCTCATGCCAATAGAGCACAACATTTTTTTGGCCTCATAGGTTCGATTAGGAAGAACATTATCCTCAGGAAGCATATCTCTCAAAAGGGCTAATAACTGTGTGAAACTTTTATCCGACCATCCATTGTGCGCCTTTAAGTTGTACAATTTTAATACCGCAGACAATCTTGTGAATTTGGGGCAATCTTTATACAACGGTTTCTCCGCATCGCTTACCAACCTCTCAAACATTTTGGGACAATCTTGAAGATCTTCTTCAAGTGCTTCTGCAATCTCTTCAACCCGATCACAATCATATGTATCTGTGGCATTGTCGTACGAAACATAGGTCACATTACTTTTCACCCACGGTTCAACATTCTAGATGCTTTTCTCACCATGAAATATCCAACACGTATAACTTCGATCAATTTCGCGCATTAGTAAATGCGATCTCAATCCATCTGCGTCAACCCGACCCACATAACAACAACCCAAGCAAGGACATTTCATTATATTCAGGTATTCAGCGTGTTTAACAGCAAACTTAACGAACTCTAATACCCCATTCTCGTACTCTTTTGACAATCGATCGGCACACATCCATTTTTTATCCATGGTTTTAACTATTATCTAAGTTAAACAAAAACACTAGAAATGAGGATTGGGAGTACAATGAATTTAAAGAGTATGTGTTGTCAACAAAAATCAAACATGTGATTAGAACAATTCTAGAAATGAGGATTGTTGTGGTCCTATAACATATTCAATCAATGATCGTCAACGTTACAATTTTAGAGACATTAGCTTAGTTGTGAACTCATTCTAAGATTCATGATTTGTGTTATTTTTTACTATTACTAAGTTGAATATTAGATGGGGGATTTACATGATGTGATTCCTTTGTTCCTTGCAGGCATGTCTACATGAGCTAAGCATACATTATGAGAAACAGAAAAGAAACTTTCTATGCTTCCATCACTGAAAATATTCTATCACAACAGATCTTTCTTAAAGACTAAATTGATCGACGATTTTTAATTTCAGAAATCATTTCAAAACATCGATAATTCTAACACCTAAAGTTTCATGGACTAGTTACTGATTCACTAAAAAAATCAAAATAAAAGTTTCGAAAGAGAGAATAGAAACCATAATACCTAAGGTTCCTCGGCTTTTACTCGCGGAGATTGTTAATTTTCTATTTCGCCGTAAGAAGAAAAACAATAAGAAGATGAAGATTCCAGCAAGAGCAGAAGAAGCAATCAATGCTAGTAGAATTCTCTTATTCAAATTTTGGTGATGCACTATTCTAACATCTTGATTTCCTGTATCATTCATTGTAAAAAAAATACATCAAACTCATTAGTCTCGTTAAACCAACTCAGTTAATTGCTGTGCAGAAATATAAGATATATTAAAATTGACATAAAATAAAAATGCTGATGAGTATTTCATCTTTCAAGCAATGAAACTTCATGATTCATGATGATTACATTAGTTGTTATGAGATCTTCAAAATTTAAGACTAGTTCATGATTTTGTAGAATCAATGAAAATTTATCATAACAGTGTGTTATAGTCTACCTGGAGATTGAGCTTGAGGTTGAGATTGAGCATTAGCATTGAGAATCATTGAGGAAACAGAAATGGTAATGAAAAGAATAAGAAAATTCATTTTGAATAAGTTGTTTTGTTGTGTAGAGAAGGTTCTTTTCTATTCTTGTTAAGTTTTTGAGTTGGTTTTTGGAAGTGATTCTGTATGCAGAAATAGACAAAGGCTTTGTTTCATTGAAACCGATAAAGTGCTTTTTTTAATTAATCCATTTGATGGATGATGATGATAAGTTGGTTTCATTCATGAGTGTAATAAATGAAGATTGAAAACAGAAGCAAAATTCAGAACATAATAGGAAAATTGGGAAAATCTGCTGCTTTGCCTTAACAGTAATAAAACAAAAACCACAACCAACTCACCTAACATGAACACAAAAATGAACAGTTTAAGATGAGGACAAACATTTAGTGGGACACAATGACAGAGTTAAGAACAAGACAAACTGCATATGTTAATCGGTTATAGACTACTACATGATGATGGCACATTATAGTTAAGAAAATTGTAATCCAGAGGAAAAGAACTTTAGGAGTACAAAAGAACTAAAAGTTGAAAACAGTAAGAAATTAGCTCTAGGAATTCCCATCTTATATCCAATAATCCAGGAAAATTCTTGTATGATTATCATATATATTCAAAGTGATGAAACAAAATGAAGGAGTAGAAGTAAAAATATAAAAAGAAACAACAAAGTGATGAAACAAAAGGAGACTACAACCTTATCTGAGTCAACAATATGTTTGCTTATGGATAGATTTGCGCCTTGTTAATATATATGCTCAAATTTATATCTTGGTTATGTGGTTCCTAGGTACAAGAAAATCTGTAATCAACTCATATATGCAGTGTTAATATTGTAGTTGTTGTTAGTCATTTGCATGTATAATGTAATTACTTTTTTAACTGCTCCTTTTGTGTAACAACAAAGTAACATAATAATTTTTATACACATAGTTTAAACAGATTAACAAGAATTCAATATCTATAAGAGTACAATGACCAATGTCCTATAAGAAATACTTGTGATGAATCGTGTGAATGAATGAAAATGGATAGAGATGAATAATAGAGAGGCCTGTTTTGGTACTGAGAGTTTCAGAAAGAAATGAAGAAGACCAGACTTTATGCTTGCATTAAGTTAACCATAGAAAAAAATATAGAAGGATGAAGAAATTTTACCTTATAGTGAAACTGGTTTTGTGAAACTTCTTCTTCACGAGGAGATGGTGGTAACGAATCCGAAGCGAGTTGGAGAAGAAGATGAACCACGTGCCTCGTATAACCGGAGAATCCGAAGCTTGCAACGATAAAACGAATTAGGAAGCGAGTTGGAGAAGAAGATGAACCACGGTTGGACGGTGAGGAGGGAGGAGACGAGTTAGACGAAGATGGACAGTTGCGTGTGTGGGGTTTCGTTTGTATAAAGTGGGGTTTCTGATAACCAATTTAGGGATTTAGAAACTATTTAATTACCTTAGACAGCGCTTTTAAGAAGCGCTGCTAAAGGTATTACCTTTAGCAGCGCTTTAGTGTAATGCCTTTAGCAGCGCTTCTTGAAAGCGCTGTCTAAGGTATACCCTTTATCACACCTTTAGCAGCGCTTTTAGTAAGCGTTGTCTAAGGTATACCCTTTAGCAGCGCTTATTCTTATTTTTTTTATTTTTTTTAATTGAAAACCTATAGCAGCGCTTAGGGAAAGGAAGCGTTGTCTATGGTAAAGCCTTTAGCAGTGCTTTTAGTAAGCGCTGTCTAAGGTATACTCTTTAGCAGCGCTTATTCTTATTTTTTTATTTTTTTATTGAAAACCTATAGCAGCGCTTAGGGAAAGAAAGCGTTGTCTATGGTAAGGCCTTTAGCAGCGCTTTTAGTAAGCGTTGTCTAAGGTATACCTTTAGCAGCGCTTACTCTAATTTTTTAATTTTTTTTCTGAAAACCTATAGCAGCGCTTAGGGCATAAGTGTTGTCTATGTGGCGCTGTCTAAATTCAATATTGGCATAGTGTATCAACGATGATGATCAATCGAAATGTCACATTCGGAGTCGCGTCAATCTTCTCATGGTCTTGAAGCCCTAGGATTGATCAATAATCTTTTTGCTTCTCATTTAAAGAGTCTGACTTACCAGGTCATTGCGATGGAGATACTACCTGCCTTAACAAATCTCCACTGATCATGTCTATGATGAATGTTGAAGATGAACTTGACTATGAGGATTTTGAAGACTCTTTGAGAAGAAGATTTAGAGATATTTTCATCTTAGCGAATCAGTTAAAGCGGTCGAGGTTTGAATTGGAGAATATATGATTAAATCAGAAGATATCAAATTAAATCAGAGATCTAACTATGAAATTTCGTTAAAAAATCAATAGTCGATGCATGCAGTTGCATGAGATAAACCTATAAAATTATCACTCCAATATTGAAATGGATGAGTGAACGAAGATAAATAGAGTGAATTATGAACACTAAAGTGTATCTGCAATGAGAAATAGTTAAACTTATGTCGTATTTTGTATTTGGCCCACCCAAAACAATCAATATTTGGCTGGATTTATGAAAATTTTCAAATAATATTCAAATACAAGCTCATCGAACTCTTAAAGCTTATCCTTTTCTCACCTATACATGCATGACTTTGACCTGGACAAAGACATAAAAACTAGTACTAATATTTGACACCTATCTGTCTGGATGGTTGACATTTAATAAATTCTATAAAATGAATTATTTTTTCATATGCTGTTCTAGTATGTTTCTTCAATTTTTATATTCAGACGCCATTTCCTATTTTGTACTTTTCATATTTGTCTATCTTAACTACGAAAGTACTTCGATATTAATATCAGACGAAAGTTTGTTCTTTCCATCCTTAATAATCATCATGACAAGATTTGAGGTAGTTTTTGTCTCAACACCAGCCATCGGAAACATCGTTCCCATCGTCGAATTCGCCAACCATCTAACCAAACACAACCCTCAATTCTCTGCAACCGTTCTCATTATCACCGTCCCACAACTTCTCCTCGTTAACACTTACATCCAATCTCTTTCTTCCTCCACCACTAATCTCAAATTAATCCACCTCCCTCCCGTACACCCTCCCACATCTGATCAGTACCAATCATTCATCCCTTACATCTCCCTCCTCATACAAAACCACAAAAACAACATCAAAAACACACTCCTAAACCTCACATCATCGTCAACCGAGTCAAACTCTGACTCGGTTAAACTCACTGCTGTCTTCGTTGACATGTTCTCGACACCCATCATCGATGTTGCTAACGAGATCTCCGTCCCTTGCTACCTCTTCTTCGCGTCACCGGCGAGTTTTCTCGGATTCATGCTCCACCTTCCAAGTACTGAATCGCTCGAATCGGAAACTGAGTTTAAAATCCCGAGTTTCAAAAACCCGCTTCCGAAACCCGTTTTGCCTAGCTTGGTGGTGGACAAGAAAACCGGCGCTTATTCGTGGATGGCATATCATGGAGAAAGATACAGAGAAACAAAGGGTATTATCGTAAATACAGTTCAAGAGCTTGAACCGCATGCTCTTCAATCACTTTACAATGATTTAGATCTACCACCGGTTTATCCAATTGGGCCGGTTCTTGACCTTGATGGACCAGCTCAATGGGATCCGAACCCGGTTCAGTATAATTACATCATGGAGTGGCTCGACATGCAGGAACCTGGTTCTGTGGTTTTTCTTTGCTTCGGTAGTTTGGGGAGTCTTGAAGTGAAACAGGTTGAGGAGATCGCTATTGGGCTTGAACGGACTGGGGTTAGGTTTTTATGGGCTTTAAGGGGCCCACCCAAGGCCCGGTTGGAGGATCCAAGAGATTACGCGAGTTATGAGAATGTTCTACCAGATGGGTTTTTGAAAAGGATGGAGGGGATGGGGATTGTGTGTGGGTGGGTCCCACAAGCAAAGGTGCTGGCCCACAAGACTATAGGTGGGTTCGTTTCCCACTGTGGTTGGAATTCGATATTGGAGAGTTTGTGGTACGGTGTGGTGGTTGCCACGTGGCCGGTTTATGCAGAGCAGCAAATGAATGCGTTTGAGATGGTTAGGGAGTTGGGATTAGCGGTGGAGATAAGGGTGGATTATACGAAGGGTGGGGATCTTGTGCGAGCAGAAGAAGTTGAAAATGGTATTAAGATATTGATGAACGGTTGTGATGAGATTACGAAGAAAGTTAAGGATATGAGTGAAAAGTGTAGAGTGGCTTTGATGGAGGATGGCTCGTCTTATAATAATCTTGTGTCCCTTGTTAAAGAATTGACAAAATGACCAACTACTGTTATTTTCTGAAAGTAAGAAAAATCCTTCCAAGAGCATTCCTAATAGGAGGATGTTTTTATGGAAATCCATGTTACGGACCATGACATGTTATGTGTTTTGATGTATGTGACACCTTTGTGGTTATGTTTTCTAATTGAAATATATGATTATTGTTTTGGGTTTAGAATTACATGACACGTAAATTGTGGGAATTAATGTGTCGTCTAGGAAAATGTTTGTGTCGTGATAATCACGATGTTACTTTTTTGACTGATACATTTGCATCGTGATTATTATGACAGTAACTATTTTCTGAATGTTTGTTTTGCATCGTGATTTTTACGACAGTAATTTCCCTTTATAAATCTTAAATGCATCATTCTAGAACCACCCTCATTCATATCCTTCCTTTCTCTTCACCATTTCTCTTCTTCTTCTCAACATCAATCCATACTCTTTCTATCTAAATTTTCTACTCTTCCTAACGAATTTTATTAAACTTTCCAATATTTCCTAACGAATTTTATTAAACTTTCCAATATCAAAAGTTAAAGGTATATAATATTTATTTTGTCTTGTTTCATATTTTAACAGTTTTGTTTTATATCTTATTTCATTTTTTTGTTGATGAAATTAGGAAGAAGAAGATCAAAGCCAAGGTTCAAGAAGTGGTTCAAGAAGTTGTTCAAGAAATTGTTCAAGAATTTGTAAGAATTTATTAAGGTATATTTTAATTTTAATTTTTAAACACACACATATATATTGAGTTTGGCTGCTTTTTGTTTTTGTTTTAATTTATGAATAGGTTTAATAATTTATGTTTTTCGGTGGGCATCAAATATTTTTGCGTAAAAACACTAAAGGAGTGACTTCCTTATAGGGATAAGGAGAACCACAATAAGGGTAAATTTCTGTATAATTGTGAGGATTTTGGTGCTACAACAGTGATGCGTGTTGATCCAAGATATGCGTCTTACTTATCCCTTTGGCAGAAGTCTCTTTATATAGTCCTTCTATTGATCCTTTAAGATTAAAATAGTAGCTTCCTTGCTATGGTCAAGAAGAGCGGCAAAATATGATTTTTTTTGGGGTGTTTTAGAAGAAGGGTGAAGGACCACCATCTTTGGTGACCTTCTTTTTCTCTATTATTTATGCCTATATCTATCTTCCCCCTGTGATGTTGTTAGAGAACTTTATTTATATTAACAGTCTTCCTCCTCATAAATAGTAACATTTATTGGAATTTATGGTTATGATAGATGTTACTGACCATTTAATCTTTTGTTATGTCTTCATCAACCAAGTGTAATTGCCACATCAATGGTTTGAAACCAACACATATTGAGTTCTGTAATTGAATCGGTGATCGGATAACCAATTAAGTCGACTAACACAGCTAGGCCACAAACAAATCGGTCAACACAACTACATAAATCGGCTAATAGAATTAGACTGCAACAAGTCAGCCCATACAGCTAGGTCAAAAACATACAACCAAGTCGATCAATAGAACTAGAGTGCAACAAATCGACATATCCTGTTGTATTACTTGACTTAGAGATCTAATTGTAAAAATTCGTAAAAATTAATAGTCAATTCTCATATATAGATCCATGTGAAAAATTTAGAATTATTAATGCAGATTCTTAATACGGTGATACAATCTACTCTAATACAGTTGTGTAAGATGAATCTTTAAAATTATTACTACAATATTCAAATCAACGAGTGGATGAAGATAGTAGAGTGAATTGCGAATATAATCTTACCTATTTATTTTTCACACTATAGTATACATGCAATAAAGAATAGTTAACCTTATGTTGTAGTTTTCATTTGGGTCACCCAAAACAATAAGTACTAGTATTTAGCTTGTAATTAGTGATATGGATTCATGAAACTTTTCAGATAATTGGAAAATAATTATTGTAGACCAAGCTCATCGAAGTCTACTCTTATCCTTTTCTCACCTTTGTCTCACTTGTGAATAAAGACATTAAAAATAGTACTAATGTTTGACACGTATCTATCTGTCTTGGATGATTGACGTTTAATAAATTCTATAAAATAAATTGTTTTTTATTTTTAATTTTTTATATTTTTTTCCTATCACAATGAAGGATCCAATCTACTATTTTATATATATTAAAAAATTGTAAAAAATAATTTGTTTTATTATAATACTTTTAATTATAAATTAAAAATATAAAAAATTAATTAATTAAAAGATAAATTTAAAAAATATATTGAAAGTTAAAAAAAGCATTCATTATATAATATTATTTTATTTTAAATCGATCACTTATCGTGGAATGAAGAGATAAAGAGAGCAATGTTATTTTAAAAAAGAAATTATTTTAAAATAATTATTATTTTTACTTTTTAATATAATAATAATAATTTTTTTAATTATATCATTTAATTATTAATTTATACACTACTTTTAATTAGGGGTGTTCGCGACTTAGTTTAAATCGGCGTTAAAGAAAAAACTCATCCGATTTAAAAATAAATTTACTTGCAATTCAGTTCGATTTTAGATGATATATTAAAAAAATTTAATTCGATCCGATTTAATTTTATAAGATTTAATTTGGATCGGGTTTTTGATATCCAAATTATACGTTATATATTTATTTATATTATAAAACTACAAAAAAAATATATATTTATATAATATATAATATATAATATATTAACGTTAATATTATAAAATGAAAGTGATCGATTATAGTTGAAATAATAAAATAAATAGATTATATTAAGTTAATAAATATTATTAAAAAAATTATTATCATTTAATAATAAATTCATATAATAATAAATTCATATAATATATAATACTAAATAAAAAGTAAATAAATATTAGAATATATATATATATATATGGTTTGGTTTGATTTAGATTGATTTTAAAAAATTAATTTGAAATCTGATTTAAACCGATCGATTTTTACAAAATATTATTAAAAAATTATTATCATCTAATAATAAATTCATATAATATATAATACTAAATAAAAAGTAAATAAATATTAAAATATATGTATATAGTTTAATTTGATTTGGATTGATTTTAAAAAATTAATTTAAAATCTAATTTAAACTGATCAATTTTCACAAAATAATATCTAAATACATCCAATAAATTTCGATTTTTTATAATTTTTAATATTTTGAATCGATTTAAATTTGAATCCCTACTTTTAACACATTAATAAAAGTAATTTAATAAAAAAATAATGTCTTAGAACTGTATTATTTTTTAATTCGTATAAAAAAATCTTAGATGGCACTCCATTTGAAAGGGAAGAAGAATTAATATATCAGAAGAAAGTTTGCTCTTTCCATCCTTAATAATCATCATGACAAAATTTGAGGTAGTTTTTGTCTCAACACCAGCCATCGGAAGCATCGTTCCCATCGTCGAATTCGCCAACCATCTAACCAAACACAACCCTCAATTCTCTGCAACCATTCTCGTCATCACCCTCCCACAACGTCTCCTCGTCAACACTTACATCCAATCTCGTTCTTCCTCCACCACTAATCTCAAATTCATCCACCTCCCTATCGTAGACCCTCCCACACCCAATCAGTACCAATCCTTCATCCCTTACATATCCCTTTTCATACAAAACAACAAAAACAACATCAAAAACACACTTCTCAATGTCGTATCGTCTTCCGAGTCAAACTCTGACTCGGTTAAACTCGCTGCTGTCTTCGTTGACTTGTTCTCCACACCCATCATCGACGTCGCCAACGAGATTTCCGTCCCTAGCTACATCTTCTTCGCGTCACCGGCTAGTTTCCTCGGATTCATGCTCCACCTTCCAAGTACTGAATCGCTCGAATCGGGAACTGAGTTCGAAATCCCGAGTTTCAAAAACCCGCTTCCAAAACCCGTTTTGCCCAGCTTGGTGGTGGACAAGAAAACCGGTGCTTATTCGTGGATGTCATACCATGGAAAAAGATACAGAGAAACAAAGGGTATTATCGTAAATACAGTTCAAGAGCTTGAACCTTATTCTCTTCAATCACTTTACAATGATTTAGATCTTCCACCGGTTTATCCGATTGGGCCGATTCTTGATCTTGATGGGCCGGCTAAATGGGACCCGAACCCGGTTCAATATGATTACATCATGGAGTGGCTCGATATGCAGGTTGTTGGTTCTGTGGTTTTTCTTTGCTTTGGTAGTTTGGGGAGTCTTGAAGTGAAACAGGTCGAGGAGATTGCTATTGGGCTTGAACGGGCCGGGGTTAGGTTTTTATGGGCTTTAAGGGGCCCACCCAAAGCCCAGTTAGAGGATCCAAGAGACTACGCGAGTTTTGATAATGTTCTACCGGATGGGTTTTTGAAACGGACGGAGGGGATGGGGATTGTGTGTGGGTGGGTCCCACAAGCAAAGGTGCTGGCCCACAAGGCAGTAGGTGGGTTTGTTTCCCACTGTGGTTGGAATTCGATATTGGAGAGTTTGTGGTACGGTGTGGTGGTTGCCACGTGGCCGGTTTATGCAGAGCAGCAAATGAATGCGTTTGAGATGGTTAGGGAGTTGGGATTAGCGGTGGAGATTAGGGTGGATTATACGAAGGGTGGGGATCTTGTGCGAGCAGAAGAAGTTGAAAATGGTGTTAAGATATTGATGAACGGTTGTGATGAGATTACGAAGAAAGTTAAGGATATGAGTGAAAAGTGTAGAGTGGCTTTGATGGAGGATGGCTCGTCTTATAATAATCTTGTGTCCCTTGTTAAAGAATTGACAAAATGACCAACTTGTGTTATTTTGTGAAACTAAGAAAAATCCTTCCAAGAGCATTCCTAATAGAGGATGTTTTAGATAATAACGTGTAGAGTTTGTTATAGCTATCCAAGCTATTGGAGAATCAATAAAGAGGGGTTAGCAACTTAGCATATGTATTCAAATAATGAGAATTAATATATTTCAAAATATTTGTCTTCTTTTATTGTTCGCATTCAAATTTAGTGCCCAAAAATTAATGTT